ATATCTTTAAAGTTATGAAATGTTTCTCACAAGGTACAACACATAGTGCCTGAAATTACAATAATAAATACCTCATGTTAAAATTATTACGACATGGGCTGCGTGTATAATAAACAGTTACCTACAAATTACCTGATTATACCCACAACTAACCTCGAAAAATTCTAGCCAATCAGAACTCAGTAGATGACACCATTTTGTTCTGACCAATCAAAACTCATTTTTTAAAAAATCTTTGCACTCAGCCACAAAAAAAATTGTGTGTGTCTGTCCTCTGTCCACTGCATGAGAGGGTATAAGTGTGAAATATTGATATATTAACCCACTAATGATGGGTGTCCCACATGAGAGACACCCAAAAAATATAAACATTGCCAGGCATCCCGCCAGTGCGAAGCGGAATCGGGGCTCGGCTTCCGACGCAGCAGCAGGCCACAGCCAGCAGGCGAGCAGAGTCCGGTGCAGCCCCACCCTCCAATTTTGTAGCCGCCCAGAATCTTTTATTTTCGGCTTCAAAATATACTGGTGTTAATGGGTTAAAAGCTGACTGAAAGTTTTAGAAAATGCAAATTTCAAATATCAATAGAAATACCATCACATTGAGGACATATAACAGTCGAGTGTAATAATGGAGGCGCAAAAATAGGTTAGTATGATTTAAATTGGTTTTAATGAGAACGGGCAGATTACACATATATTACACAGAATATATACATCAAAATATTAATATAATGCATGTATCAATAAGTCTTTAACTCTAATATTACAATAAAAGCAGCATAACAGAAAATCATTGTCAATCTGGCATAAGTACATAGTCTATTACATAAACCACAATTGATTTGATGTACAATTGCAGCTTGCACAACTAATTCGGCCTAAAAGAATTCATATTTATGTAGGATTATTTAATTTAAGCAGTGCAGCTTCAAAATGATCACTATTACATCATTTAAATAGCCGTTCTAACGCATATAAATTAAACATTACATACCATCATATCATGGAAGTGAAAATAATTAACTATTTCCTTTTCTGACATTAATCATTACTAAAGTATGTAAAATGTTTCTCAAATGCACTGTATGTCTGTTTGGGAGTGACGACACACACATTGATCACGTGGATGACAAAGATTGCTTGACACAGAACTACTTTCAGTAGCACAACTTTGTGTTTCATCTTTAACTTTTGCAATAATATTTGTAAATGCAATTAGCTCATACAATCCTGTTATTGTTTGAGTAACAATTAACTTAATATTATTGATATATTAATAGGATCTTCAGGAAAACTGGGAGATGCATTTTCATAGTTAAGTTACTTTCATCTAATCATGATTTAATGCATTAGTATTGTGCAACAACAAAGCAAAGAGTGAACCCAGATTTAGCCGCACAATTGAGGATTGTAATTGTAAAGGTGAAACATGCATCCAGTTCTTGTAGCGTGAAGCCTAGGGTTACAGGGGACTGTCCCAAACGAGTAAAATTTTTTGGGTCGATTTGGGTTAGCTAGCATATAGTATTGGTACATGAATGAGGAAACTACCATACGAGTATTAAAGTCCAGTTGTGGCTAGCTCACAGACAGCAAATGCGAGACCCACTGGCAATACCTGGCAAGTGTCGTTAATGAGCACCCAGGTTTAAATAACACTTCTATACCAATATCAGAAAAATATTATAACTGTAATTTATGACAAAATATTTTGTGAAATATATCTAAAAAAAAATTAAGTTTTGTGTCCTTTTACACCTGAAATATGTTTCCATCGAGACTCCCTGGTAATATGTTATAGCTTACGAAGTGATCTGTCTGTATGCAGAGTGCGAAGCACTAATGTTTGAAAATAGCCATATAAGTAAGGATTAAATTATCTCCATTAGACTTCACTGAACAGTCAGTACATCTCAGCCATGGCAAATTTGATTTGATTTTAAATTGGTCATTACCGTTGTAAAGGGCAATTCAATACAAAGGATACCTAAAAGTCAGATTTTTTAACTTTTGGTGGGAAAGTGAGATACTTATTATTTACTATTGAAGATGATAGTACTCAGTAATACCTGCTCTGAAATAAAACTAAATGGAATTTTGAGCTCATTTGAGTGTGCAGTCTTTGTCTAGAGTTGAAAAATCTATGGCATCTGTTTCACGCATTTCTGATAAAAATTATGTTTAGATGTTACCATAGTTCTTAGGTACCATAAATTTGCAAAAATCAAACCACATCTAGGTGTCTGCATGATTTTATATACTTCTTAGTAAAGATAATGGGTGCAAATGGCTAATCAACAACTCTACGTTTGTTTCCCAATGCAAACTGTTACTACTGACAATTATCGAAGAAAACGGTTTGTAAGGATAACTAATATATTTCGTTCCTTCAGATACAAAAGTCGATGTAGGCCTACTAAATGAGGATGATTCTTTTTTTTTTTTTTTACTTTGTGCATGTGTTTACGTACATATGATCCTCCTCTAAAATTATAAACACCCAGTGACCATCTCCCCCACCCCCCCTGTGTGGAGCATGGGAAAAATTAACCCACTACCAATGGGTGTCCCACATATGAGACACCCGAAAAAATAAACCTTACTGGGTGTCCCGCCTGTGTGACGCTGTATTGGGGCTTGCGCTCCTACACAGCAGCGGCCCACTGTCATATGCTTTTAAAATTCTCAAAATTGAACTGCCATATTGTATTCATGCTAGGACTTTATAATTAGGATGATTTTGTACTAATGTTGCCATCCACAGTCAAAAAAAAAAAAAGTTGTCTAGTTGTCTCTATGGTTCAATGCCTTTATTAAACTTTTCAGACAAAAATATCTACTTTTATATCTAACAAACAAACAAAAAAATTACAAGCCTTTATAGGAAAGTGTCCCTATAGAAAATAAAAATTCTGATATATATATATATCTATATCTATCTATCTATCTATCTATCTATCTATCTATATATATATATCTATATTATATATAATATATATATATATATATATAATATATATATAACATCATTAGATTTAGAGAAAAATAACAGAGATAACAAACTTTGTCAAGTGGCCAAAATATAATACGTCATATCTTCATTTTTTGTTTACATGACCTTAGGTATATCATCACACATAATTTTCGTATGACTGAAATGCAGTTTATTGCTTTCGCTAGAGCCTTGGAGCCCTAAGGCTGTGTAAATCGCCAATTTTTACATTTTTGCTATAATCAAAAAAATAAATTAATTAAAAAAATAATAATAAAAAAATAAAAAAAAGACTAAAAACAGTATTCTATGTCAACCAGTCCCCATCAAAAAATAAATAATAATAAAAAAGAAAAAAAAAAAAATAATAATAATAATAATAACAAAAAAGATAAAAAAAAAAATTCCATTTACACAGGCTTCAGTTACGATAGATCTAATACATGAATGTTTTCAGAATTATTCATGAAAAAACTGTGGGCGCAATGAAGTACCAAAGAAGAGGTGAAAAAAACAAAAATTTTTTTTAACTTTTTGGGAGGCACCCCACCATGGGGATGCGGGGTCAAAATTATATATGCAATTCTATACTCTAAATTATGCAAAAAAGAATCAATGAGTTATCTCCAACCAATTTTTTTTATGATGAAATGAGTACGGAAAGGTGGTCATTACACGGGAGGGTCCCCTTAAGCAACTTTGATATCACGAAGTACACGTTACGTCACTCATCAAGCCCACTCAGTGCTCCCAAATTTTAGCTCTATCTTGCCATGTATACTGAGGTGAAGACAATGTTTCCCAAGGGGGGGGGGGTTGTTGGGGGCTCAGGGTATCATGCAAACCCAAAAACAAAAAAAAAAGCCAAACCTAACTTTTCCTGCCTTCTATATATTCCCTAGATGGGGGGTAACCCCCATTTATCAGCACTTTGTGCCAACTTACAGAAAATGTGACTTAAAGAACTCTGGCTAAGACATTGGTCTCTCAGTGCTGATGTGGTGCTATGCAGTCAATATTTTTGGGTCATCTCACAGTACAGTAGCAATTGTACCTGGGTTGTTTAAGACTATTATTCTCTATAAGATGGCAGAATACATTTCTATTTATCTTTGTGCATTGCTCTCAACAACATTAACTCATTTTGATTAGGCCCATCATCTAATAAAATTGTACCATAATCTATAATAGAGGGGAAATGTTGACCTGCATGTTTGTATAGCAACTTTGCAAAGAAAAATATTAACTACACTATAGATGGTTGAGGTGCTGTGATAAACTTACTTCCATATAAGCAAACCATCCCTTCATATAACCATTCTATCTATTAATATTCCTTATAGGTTAAGACCGTGACATGCACACATGTAAATACAACAAATTCTAACAATAAATTAGTTCTTATGTTGTGTTCGGAACTGCTTGTCCTGCTCGTCCAAAGCAGTTGAACAATATATCTTGACCATTCAGAACTTCTACTTTCTCGTCTATCTCACCCTCCTGCAACACTGGGCAAGCAGGATGAGATGACATCACAATAGCTTTTGTATGTAAACAGTGACAGTTGCAGGTAACCACAAGATATTGATGGGTAATTTTATGGCCCTTAATTAGTATTCTCAAAGGATATTTTTGTGTTTGTCAGTTGCAGGTTAAATATGCAGCAAAGGAGTTACAAAACCTAGGCAGCATGTACAATAGAGACATCGGTATGATAAAAGTGAATGTTCACATTCGAGCTGATTGCATTCTGGGCAGAAAGGGTCTTGGAGGTTCTGAACACGACCAACTTGACCTACTGGTCCTAGATAAGTTGTCTGGATGAGCAAGACATGGAGTTCCAAACGCAGCATTACTAATATACTATTCACAGGCTTACCTCCACCCATACAAGCTCTTAAAAACTATACCAGCCTCCACCCAAAACAAATACAAATCACTAATAAAGAATCCGAAGCAACTCCTACAACCATCACAGAACCGAAACCGGACCCTGAAACCAACTGACCATTGAGGTGAGCCCTGTTCTGGTTCCACGCCGCCTTGATCTCGTCAGCCCGTTTGAACTTCTTGAGGGACCTTAACCGCGTGTACTCGCTCTTCACTCTCTTCTTCCACTCGGCTGACACTTTCCGCCTTCCTGACATCTTTTCCTGCCTTCTCCACGCACTTTGGGTTGCTGATTTAACTGTTTTTGTACGTTTGTTTTATTATTTCTCTAGAGGGATCTCCTCTCACGCCAATGCAGGGATATTCCCTCACTCATTAAAGGTCATTCACACTTTACACTGTCTTCTTTTGACTATAAGTTTCTTTTCTACGATTTTCTGGTATGTTCAGTTCGAGTAATTTAATCACGTTCACTTCTGGAATCCCTTTTCAGCTTCCGATCTCCACTGTCTCTCGCGACGGGCCACCGAGGCTTCCCCCAATGTATGTATCACAATGGAGGCCTCTGACTATGGTAAAGACAAAAGCATCAAGTGCCACGAGACACGTAATTATCAAACAGTACAACCTCACGTTTTCCCGGTGTGCTTTTCTTGGTTATCTGTTTTCTGTCTCTTTTTGTTACCCTTTTCTTCTATCCTCTTTCTCTCCCCACGTCTCACCTCTTGTCTGTTCTCTTGTCCCCGCGGTTCAGGGTTCATTTGTCTCGCTTGGGGATGTTGTGCGGGAGAGGGAAAGTGTCGTGCGCCGGGCGACGTATCGTGCGAGAGGAGCTGTGCGGATTAGGGCTATCTTTTTTCTATTTTTTTCTTGCTTGGTGAATATGTTTACTTGTTTAGCTTCCTTTAGGGTTGTATAATTCATTTCGCTGTGTTTTTTGCTGTCTGCTTGTCTATATGTACCTCTTGTCTCTCCCTTTCGTATGTATTTATGCTTAAGTAGATACACACGCACACGCACGTATATACACATACATGCATAAATATATTCTGATATACATACTTTATATTTGTATATACTTTGAATATGTACGCATATATATATATAATATATATATATATATATATATATATATATATATAATATATATAATATATACATATATATACATGTATATGTATTACATAATATGTACATGTATATGTATATATATACATATATGTATATATATACACATACACACACACACACACACCACACACACACACCAACACACACACACACATATATATATATATATATATATATATATATATATATATATATATATATATATATATATAAAGAGAGAGAGAGAAGAGAGAAGAGCAGGAGAGAAGAGAGAGAACGGAGAACGAGAGAGAGGGAGCGAGATGGACGGAAGAGACGAGGAGAACTGAGAGAGGGAGGCGAGAGCGGAAGATGATCGTGAGGAGGAGAGAAGCCAACCTACTGCAGGATCATAGAAAGAGTTTATCGAGAAACATTTTTCCTAATGACTCGCATTTATCATGATCGACCAGTTCAATGATGATGAGAGGTCTTGGACGCTGTAGTAGCATCAAAGAGAGAAGACAGAAGCGAGAAGGAGGATCATATGAGGACCTCGAAGAGTTACGAGAGAGCGAATTTTTATGCGAGACTGATGCAGGACACGATAGCTAGAGAAAGACACTCATCAGATGATATTCATGATGAATTTGAAAAATGTTACAGAACAAAGTTTGTGTTCGACTCATCTCTCTAGAATACTAGTATGTTATTATCGCTACACTATCTATATTGAAGTTTCGTGTGCCCCCTTTTTTGCTGGACTATTTATGTAGATATTTCTTCCTTTTAGCTTTTTCTGCATTCATATCATTATGGCGTTTTATTTTTTTTTTTTTTTTTTTTATTTTTTTTTTTTTTTTTTTTTTTTTTTTTTTTATTTTACTAATTAATGTGTATGATTCATTATCTGATTATTTGGACATTTAATCTATCATTATTATTCCTTATTGTATACATAAACATTGGCCCACATAACCCTTTATAAATTAATAAGTCATCTATAATTATGTATGATATGATAATATTCATTACTCTAATATTTATAATGCAGCCTACAATTTTTCATTAATTATTTCAGCGTACATTACATTACATTTGTACTACATATTGGGTAGCTTTTTATTAGTTATAGCCTTATGATATAAATCATACACACAAACACAACATTATACAACATACAATCATTTAATTTTTATTATTGAATATATATATATATTATTTAATATATTTTAAATTTGATATATATACTATGTATATGATAAGATATAAATATATATATTTATATATATTTAAATATATTCTAATTTATAGGATGTACTTATGTATTGTGTGTGTGTTGTGTGTGTGTTTGTAGTGTAGTATGTGTGTACATGTGTTCTGTGTGGGATATATATATGTTATATATTTATACACACACACACAACACACATCCACCACACACACACATACAACACTACACACACACACACGTACACATTTCACCACACACAAAACACACACACACTGTATTTAATATTAATATTTATATATATAAATATTATAATATATTATTATATATATATATATATAATTTATTTTTTTATTTATAAATATATATCATTAAACATAAATAATATTATATATATTTTAATTTCTTACTATTATATACTTATATGCATATATCTTATTATTATGATACTATTTTATATATACATATTTAGTATTATATGCAATAATAGTATATAATAGTTTTATAAATATTACAGATATAAAATATATGCACATAAACATCAGATACTATGTATGAATCACGTGTTTGTGTTGTGATGTGCTTCTGTGCGTATTATAATAATATATTTTTATTATATATTATAACTACTTATTAATATACTTATTATAATATAAAAACATGTATATAAAATAATAAAACGTTCTTTTCTATAATATTAACATATTTACACTACGCGTGTCGCGCATGCGTCACACACTCTACACACTTTCACTATCTTATCAATCCACTTACTACTTACAATTCTATCTACACACACACACATCAACACTTATAACACACGACACGTCACACACCTACACCACTATACACTTACCACTAAACCTCACTACACACATACAACACCATAATGTATAACACACGACAAAACACTACACACATACACACACACCAACACACGACACACACAGTATTTAATCATTACACACATACATACACATCACACACTCACACATCAACACAACACACGCAAATTACTCTTCACACACACACATACACACACACACACACACAGTCAACCACACACACACACACATACCACACATCCACACTACACATCCACAATCATCAAATCATTTTTAATATTAATGAATCATGTATAAATATTATATACATATATTCCTAACGTTATATATTTACATATATAATACATCACCCAGACATACCACGCGGTTGTTATGTTGTTGCTGCTCTTAATAACTTTTATTATTTATATACAATATAATCTTATAATATTATTATATTATAATATTTATTATTATTTATTATTAATTCTAATTATTATATAATAATTATTTGTATATATGTATTTATAATTTTATATATTAAATATAATAATATTGTTAGATATAGATATATATTTATATATCAAATAATATATATATTTGTATGAATATATATTATATATATTTAATTCATGATATTATTATATTTTTATATTATGTAATATGATATTTGTATATGTATATATATATTATTATATATTAGTTATATATGTATTTATATTATTATTACCTTATAGTTTATTATTGTTTGTGTTGTTGTCTTTGTGTGTGTATGTTGTGTGTTGTGTGCTTTTCTTTGTGTGTGTGGTGTGTGCAGAGTGTGTGTAATATATAATATTAATATTAATATATATTTATATATTTATTATATTTTTATATATTACATTATATTATTATTATATATATTTATATTATATTAAAATTAATATGATGTGTGTGAGTGTGTTGTGTGTTGTTTGTGGTGTGTGTTTCTCATAAACATCTTATAGTGTTGTGTGTAAGATGTATGTAGTGTGTAGAATGTGTGTATGTGTTCTGTTGTGTATGTCTTGTATATAATGTATTATAATTATGTTGTGTGTGCTTGATATCTCCTTTTGTTGATGTATGTGTTTATACCAATCACACATGTATGTATTATGTATTGCTTATGAATAAACTAAAAGGTGTTTTAATTGTTACATATGTGCATTATTATTATATGTATTGTTAATAGATAATGTGCCTTATATAAGCTAACACTAAGACACAAACAATAGTATACGTGTTATACAAAAATGAAATAATATAATACTCTATTAATGAGAATTAACAATGCGTAAACTTTTTCGTAATCACCTCCTGAATTTATCTCTTGAACAAAAAACCGATAATATGGTTATCCCTATTTCGGTTATTTCATTTATTTATATTTTGTATATATTCTCATTATACTTTGTTGTTACTTTGTATTATATTTTAAATTTTATAATATTTTTTTATATAATACATTATATATTTATTTATGTGTTGTGTTAGCTATACATTAGAATAATTCATTTGAATATACTATATCATATATTATTCATTTATGTTTGTTTAATTGATGGTATATATACATAGTGCTTATTTTATGATATTATACTATATATTATTATTATATATATCTATATTTATATTACTTAATTTTGTTATATATATATGTTGTGTGTGTGTGTGTGTTTTGTGTTTGTGTGTTCGTGTGCTGTGTGAATGTGTGGGTGTGTGTTGTGTTGTGATGTCGTATGCGTTATTCTCTATGTTGTTTGTTTTTTTTTTTGTGTGTGTGGTGTGTAACTTATATACATGTTGTTGTGTCGTAGTGTATAATCGTTCTGCGAGTTGTAATTTTACTTATAATATATGTATGTGTATATATGAACACACATACATTTTGTAGTTCTTTTATGCATTATTGTATATGCATATGTGATTAAACATTGATTACAGATGCGCAGAAAGACCTACTCACGAAATCTACATGTGTTTGTGTTTTATAGACAAACCCACTACGTCACACACACCACACTATTACACACACACACATACACACCACCACACTCCACACCACCCACACACACACACACACCTCACTAACACAATTATATAATATATTATAATTATGATATTATATAATATATAGTACAATTATTAATATATATATATATGGTGATGTTGTGTGTGTGATGCTGGATGTTTGTTGTTTGTGCATTTGTGTGTTCGTTAAATATACACCAACACAATTATCTGTTTGTGTTTCTCTGGTATATTTCATCATTATACTTCATCTGTCTGACGCACACCACACATCCACCACAAAGCGATCAACATTCTATCACTGCCGGCACACACACACACATATATATACATACTTCTATATAGGTCTTATGAACAGTATATAAATAACACTCGTGTTACTGTTATATTATTACATGCTCGTGTACGTATTATATTGTTGTATCTAATATGCAAAGTTGTGTGTGTTTTGACTTTGTGTGTTTGATATTTTTATTTGTTGTGGCATGTGTTGTTATTTAAGCACCTACACTTATATCTGTGCTGTCTTCGGCATATATAACTCACGCACCACT